AGAGACAGCCATTAGACTGTCCCCCTGGACACTAATAACACCCTCAACTCCCCCATGACCCCATCAACACCCCCCAGACACCAATATTTCCCTCAAGGACCTCAATATCTCACCCCATCTGTGGGTAAGCCAGGGGAACAAATCCTCTCTGCTTTGGGGAGGTTCAGCTTTCCTTGGAGCCTGCAAGCCAGTGTGATTGCGGCATTGTGCTTTCTGAATGCCTGATTACAATTTTGGACATGCGGCACTTCTCTAACAGTAGCAGTGCCCAGAAACCTGCCCCGAAGTCAGAAAATAGTGAGTGGCAAGGGGTGTGGGAAAGGATGGGCAAACGCCTGAGTCGATGGGCACCTCCAGTGTTTTGGAATTTCACTCCCGAACAAATGCAGAGCCCTGATAAGCTGATGGAGTGCTTAGAAAGGGTGTGTTACCAAACTGGCAAAACCCAGGAGACACAAATCGCTGCAATGTGTTGGGGACTTGCCCATGTGTACCGTGTTCTCTTTAATACCACTCACTGCCCTCAAGGGGAAGAAAAGGCCACACAAACAATATCTGAACTGGGGGGACAGGCAGAGCCAGTCTCAGTCGCTTCCACCAGCACACAGATTGAGCCAGAGAGCCAGGCACTGCCAGTGTCAGTCGCCCCGATACAGAAAACAAAATATACCAGAAAGTCAGTTCGCAGAGTGAGGGATGAGGATGGGCCAGGCCCATCAGGGGAACAGGAGGAAAGGCCAGAGGTGATCGTCCGATCTCTGTCCCTGACTGAGCTGCAAGATATGCGGAGAGATTTTGGCCGCCTGGGAGGCGAGCAGATTTGCACCTGGCTGCTCCGATGCTGGGACAATGGAGCCAGTGCTTTAGAAATGGAGGGGAGAGAGGCCAAGCAGCTGGGATCTTTGTCCAAGGCTGCTGGCATTGATAGGGAAATAGGGAAACAGACTCAAACCCTCAGCCTTTGGAAGCAACTCCTGCTCAGTGTAAGGGAGAGGTACCCCTACAGGGATGACATCCTATGTCAGCTAGGCAAATGGTCCAACATTGAGAAGGGAATTCAGAATCTCATGGAACTGTCTGTGTTTGAGATGATCTATGGTGATCTGAATAGTGAGCAGTCACCTATGGACCCAGATCAGGCCCCCTGCACACACCTGATGTGGCAACAGTTCCTGAAAGAGCGCACCAGAGGCACACTCGAAAGCATTGGCAATAGTGTCCTTGTGGACAGACACCCACACTCTATCAGTGGATGGAGTGGTTGGCAAGCTCCGGCAATATGAGGGAAATCTCCCTTCATCTCAACATTCCTGGGTCTCAGCTGTGGAGGAACTGTCTCAGAGGGTCCAGAAAATGGAAGAGGACATGTCCTATCTTCCGCCTGCACGGGCTGATGTCTCAGCCATTAGAAGTAAACGTTTCCCCACCTAAGAGAAAGGCAGCAGAAGGTACACACCATGAGGCACTCTGTGGTTTTTCCTCCACGACCATGGAGAAAACATGAGGAGGTGGATGGACAGCCCACTGCTGCCCTAGCTGCACAAGCAGAGCAGCTGAAATGGAAGACCATTACGAAAGGGGAGTCCTCCAAGAAAAGCATAGCCCCAGTGTCCAGTCAGAAATCCCCCAGGCAGAATAGAATGGTGAACATTATGTCTGACCCTCTTGAGAGGACCAGTGAATCATTCTTACAAGAAGTGAGTGATGATGAGCAGGATTAGAGGGGCCCTGCCTCCAGCCAGGTAGAGGGAAGGGATAATCGGATTTACTGAACAGTGTGGATCCGATGGCCTGGCACGTCAGACCCACAAGAGTATAAGGCTTTGGTGGACACTGGCACACAGTGCACCCCGATGACATCGAGCTACAGTGGGGTTGAATCCATCTGCATCTCCGGAGTGACAGGGGGATCCCAACAGCTGACCCTACTGGAAGCTGAAGTGAGCCTGACTGGAAAGGACTGGCATAAGCACCCCACTGTGACTGGCCCAGATGCCCCGTGCATCCTGGGCATAGACTATCTCAGGAGAGGGTACTTCAAAGACCCCAAAGGGTACCAGTGGGCTTTTGGTGTAGCTGCCCTGGAGGGGGTTGAACAGTTGTCCACCTTACCCG